TGTGTGTGTGTGTGTGTGTGTGTGTGTGTGTCTGTGTGTAGGCAAGTGCAAAAGGGACTGAGAATTACCACTAAGAGCAGTGGGAACAGGGAGAGCCGACAGAAGCCGGGCTGTGCGTGCAGACCAGGTGTGAAGGTGCCTGGCTTTGCAGCTGCAGACTGCACACAGGCAGACTCTGCAGGGCCTCGAGCCTTGCAGGCCATGGCACAGTGTTTAGTTATCTGAAAAGCAATGAAGAATGACTACTGACAGGTTGTAGAGGCTTGAAAGCGACATGACACATGTGACTTTGCGCAAACTGCATTTCTTTTACAGTCAGGACTGTGAACTGGTGGGTCCCGTAACTGGAGTCCAGGCTCACCGTTATGGCATGGTTGCCAAGGGATTTTCCTCTCCTAAACACAAAGTCCACTTAGATCCCTCGTGGCTGAGATCACTGCCTACTTTGCAGTGCACTTATCTAAGCCCTTGACTTTACAAAATTCTTAGCTTATTAGAGGCAGCCACTGCCTGTGATGTATATTTAACACAGTTAATAGTATCTCACACACAATATGCAAGAAATACCTGTTTGAATGCTCCACGTTACAGGGTCATTTTTGCCCTAGTATGAGGAAGGTTGCCTCTTCTTCCTCTGTCCTTCAGCCACAGGCCCCCCTCTCGTTTCCCCTCCACTGAAGGTGGTGGTGGGATTGTCTTCCCTTCCCACATACACCTGACACCTCTGGATTGGTGGTTAAGCCTGAATACAATTATAGGTGGGCAGCTGGTAAAGTTCATTGTTAGCACCAACCCGCCTTCTCTTGCAGGGCCCCCGGGACTCTTGCAGCCCACCTGCTCACGGGTCGACTGCCTACCTCTATGCCCCTCCATCCTGGCCTGTGCCAATGCCCCCTGCACGCCAGGCCAGTGGAGAGGAGGGACGGGGAAGGAATCATGAGAAGCTCTCAAGCAGCTTAAATTATCTATTATCTTAATGTGTTCCATGCTGGTTAGACTAAAGGCACATACGCCTCCACATGGATTTGCATTTTTACATTAGGGGAAGCACGGCATTAAACATTTTTAAAGAGCAGTGGCCTAGAATTGGAATTATGAGATCTGCCTTCTTTCAACAATGTGTATAATATAAACCTTTATTGAGTGCCTGTGTGTGCCAGGCAATGTCGGGTACGGAGGTCGAAAAAAGAGATAAAAATGATATGCAGTCCTATAAGGATATTTTAATTCCATTAGGGAGACAGGTATGTGGATGGGCCGTTATGATGCTGTGCAATGGCCTATCCTTGTTTCCTTCTGGAATTTACCACTATCTGCAATTCAATATACTCACAGTTTTCATTCATAAACAAAAAGACCACGTTTAATATTCTGCCTTCCTATCCATTTAGAATTGAGTTATTTCACAGATTCGTTTAGAAATACTAGTGCTATTGCATAAGATGATTCCATTTATTCAGTTTTCCAGTTTTTTAAAATCTTGCCAGGGTCTTTAAATTCATTGATCATCCTTCTTGTTTAAAATTAAGCCTCTAGTTTTAATGATATTTTTATGATTTCTAAGCAGACTCATATTCCACAGAAAATATAACTGGAAAATGTAATTCCTAAGTGGAAGGTGTGGGTCCCTCCAAAGTCTGAAAGATCAGCTTATCCATGTTTACATTTTTATTAATCTATCGAATGCTGTGATTGTGAATTAAATACAACCTCTTCATTATAGGACTTCAATTTTCTCCCCATATTAGTGCTGTGTGTACCATTCAGAAAGGGCTATGTTGAACAACATGGGGTCCTTTGTTTAATTTTTTTAGCTATGAAATAAAGCATAAAAAGACGATAAAGGTCTCAATAGGAATACAGATTATCATTTACAAAGATTAGCCACACCCCAGATTCCCATGTTTTCCGTCCTATTGATTGCGCTCC